GAAATTTAAAGGAATTCCACCGAAATTGGCCTGAAAGTTTGACCCAAATTGAAAAAAAATTCCCCAAATTTTCCCCCAGAATTTGCCCCAAATTTGCCCAAAATCCCCCGAATTTGCCCCAAATCCCGACCCCGTCTCTGTTTCCCCCCAGGTGATCTCGGCGAGGAATTCCGGAGCTTCTTCTCCTCCAAAGGTGAATTTGGGGTCCCCAAATGTCTCAAAATGGCCCAAAATGCCCCAAAATGTCCCCAAATGCCCCAAAATGTCCCCAAATGGCCCAAAATGCCCCAAAATGGCCCAAAATGGCCCAAAATGCCCCAAAATGTCCCAAAATGGCCCCAAAATGTCCCAAAATGCCCCAAAATGTTCCCAAATGTCTCAAAATGCCCCAAAATGTCCCCAAATGTCCCAAATGTCCCAAAATGGCCCAAAATGGCCCCAAATGTCCCCAAATGTCTCAAAATGTCCCAAAATGTCCCAGAATGGCCCAAAATGTCCCAAAATGCCCCAAAATGTCCCCAAATGGCCCAAAATGGCCCCAAATGTCCCAAATGTCCCAAAATGGCCCCAAATGCCCCAAAATGCCCCAAAATCCCTCCCAGTGTCCCTGACCCATTTTGGGGGGTCCCGATTTTGGGGGGGTCCCATTTTTTGGGGGGGTCCCAATTTCGGGGGGTCCCATTTTTGGGGGGGGGGTCCATTTTTGGGGTGTCCCTGACCCCTGTGTATCTCTCCAGGGATATTTTTGGGGTGTCCCTGACTCATTTTTGGGGTGTCCCATTTTTGGGGTGTCCCATTTTTGGGGTGTCCCTCAGTCTCTCCCCAGGGCTGATTTTTGGGTGTCCCATTTTTGGGGTGTCCCTGTCCCATTTTTGGGGTGTCTCTCTCTCCCCAGGCCCGATTTTGGGGTGCCTCCTGCTCTCGGGGTGTCCCTGTCCCATTTCGGGGTGTCCCTGTCTCCCCAGGCCCGATTTTGGGGTGCCTCCTGGTTTCGGGGTGTCCCATTTTCGGGGTGTCCCATTTCGGGGTGTCCCTGTCCCATTTTCGGGGTGTCCCATTTTTGGGGTGTCCCATTTTGGGGTGTCTCTCCCCAGGCCCGATTTTGGGGTGCCTCCTACTCTCGGGGTGTCCCATTTTGGGGTGTCCCATTTTTGGGGTGTCCCTGTCCCATTTTTGGGGTGTCCCTGTCCCATTTCGGGGTGTCTCTCTCTCCCCAGGCCCGATTTTGGGGTGCCTCCTGGTTTCGGGGTGTCCCATTTTGGGGTGTCCCTGTCCCATTTTTGGGGTGTCCCTGTCCCATTTTGGGGTGTCTCTCCCCAGGCCCGATTTTGGGGTGCCTCCTGGTTTCGGGGTGTCCCATTTTGGGGTGTCCCATTTTTGGGGTGTCCC